TACACTTCAAAGAATAACACATGAAGTGATTGTCAATATCACCAACTCGTTATCAATAATTATCGCCGTTTTTACAAATTAAACCGTGATATTCGGGTAATACCCCACAGAAGTGATACTGCACTGCACGTTTGGATGGTTTGTAAAAGTAAACACTGACCCAGTTTCTAACAATTAGAGCCGAACGTGTTCTTGTATTGATCAGAATTGCTGTGCTACCCCAGTATGTCACTGTGAGATGCATGATTTCAAATACTATGGCGGACTGTATACTGTAAAATGCAGATACCTAATTTCATTGATTCCTAAAAAAAAACTGGTTCAGACTCCTGTAAAAATGATGCAGTGCAAAAGTTTCGGCTTTTACTTCCCATTGTATTTTTAAAGGTGCTTGGAATATAATTTAATGTTTGGTGTACGTTTCACGTGTCCATCCACACGAAGGAAGTAGAAGAATTTTATACATTTCTACAAACGAGCTTAACTGGACTGCATTTTAATTAAGTCTTGCATTATTTGTCGCTCCTGTTATGGCCCGAATCGCCAATTTGAACGAAACACTTGTCAGTTGTTTCTGAATGACGATGTCGGTGTGCACATCACTGTGACCCACTGCAGTATCACAGTGATGTAAACCCGCACAGAAGCTGCCCTCATTGTTTGTTCTATATTCTGTCTCAATTTTGATGTGATATAGACATTTAGTATTGATCATTGTGGAATCAATGCCACAGCTTGCATAACACAATTAGCAGAGATTTCCTGAGGTGACAGATATATTCAAATTAACATTATGTCCAAGTCTTTAATTGATGGAACTATTAGCATTACATACGACATGCCTAAAACTTTACCCTATTTTATTGGTTGGTTTGTTATTTTTAATGATTCATTTCCTCTGTGATAGTTTTGTAAGAAGCAGTTTGAGGTCTACTTCACATTATAGTTGTGAATGTCACATCAAAAACAAGTACTAACCATCAGTTTACAGTGGAATCTACAAAGCGTCTGCTCGAGCAGTTTTTGGACGTGTTCAGACGTTGTTCCTCGCTCTGTGGTCTCCTGCACAGTAATAGATGGCGGTGTCTTCGATCTTCAGGCTCTTCATTTCCAACTCGAAGATGTTCTTTGAAGTGTCTTTGGACGCAGTAAATCGATCTTTAATCGCCGGCGCATAGTAATTGCTCGATGAAGTATAGTAGCTAACCAACCACTCCAGACCCTGTCCGGGTACCTGGCGGACCCAAATCATGTAGTAGCTGCCAATATTGAACCCGCTGGTTTTACAGGTCAGTCTCAGGGAGCCTCCAGGTTGGCTGTTCTCTGCCTCTGGTTGAATCAAAGTAACCTCCGACTGGACACCTTCAAAAAGAATATAAAATATGACCAGTTTTACTGATGAAATGATTCCAGAATCTTTTACATTCCAGAGGTAGACTAACACTTAAATGATATAAAACAGAAACTTGGAGAAAAAACACTCACAGGATAAGAAAGTCAGAAACAAACTGAGAAAAATCGTCGACGTAGTCATTCTGGTAACTTGGGAGAAAAGGTTCTGTCAAGAGCTTTCTAAACAAACCCCAGATCGAGGAGTGTTGAATTACGGTCCAGTGACCA